GGGGGGGTGGGGGGGGGGGGGGGGGGTGGTCACAAGGCAGTGGTATGTGGGGTCCTCATATTGCAAGAAACTAGATTTAAGAGGGCTAGGCAGACTAAACCTCATCGCCGCCTTGCCTCTAGTAAGGAGGCAAAACTTCACACAAACTGGCCAATCCACTGATGAACAGCGCTTGCCATTTTTTCCCCAGCGGACTTGGTCCACCTCTTAGATTTAAAGATTCGTAGGACGTGAGATACATCTTCTAAAAGTATTACAAAAATACGGAAATAAATGTGAAAACATGTTAGGGAGAGCCCTACAGAAAAAAAGGTAAAACTGCCCACGTACATAAAATATGGATGAATTCTGGCGATATCACCCTACACACTTCCAAGAAAGGCTTTACATTCCAAGATTACTGCATATACTACAGTATATCATTTGAATCCTGAGGAGACCCAGGTTTCTCAACGTCGGAGGAAAACTTTAATAGCCAAACATCTACAGGATGTGGGAAGCCTCGAGCTACCTCAGTAGTTGTAAAGGAGATAGAAAGAGTCATGCTTATAACAGAGAAAGTGGCCACAGTTAAAAGAGACTCCTAACAATAAAAGCCTGTGCCCAGGTGGCTTTACCAAAGCATATTACCAAGAATGTATATGACTGCTTAGTCCTTGTGGGGAGACGTTAAAAACCTCCCCCTGAGCTGTTAGCAGTGCATGAACTTGGAAATACCTCTGATCATTTGCCTTTGTGCCTATGATGCGCCATGCGTAGTGAAGGATATCCCACAAAGGGTTCCCACAACTGGTACAAAAGATCAGAGATCAGTGACCAGCCACTGTAGCCAGAGGTGAGGCAAAGAGCAGTGGAAACCAACCTGCCGCACGTGCATGTAAGCAAAACAGTGACAAAGACTGACAAAGCGCGCTGAGTGACAAAGACTGAAGAAAACAGAAACAAAAGGTGCCAAATGTAAAATCCTCCATAGTTAACTCTAGGGATTGAAGAAATAGCACTCTGGGCTGGATAAAAAAAAAAAAAACCTCTCCAGCAATTACACCTACTATGAATGCAAATTAGCATGTGCAAAGTCATATTCCTTAAAACATCCTACGTTCTGACATACTGCAATTAAGTCCTGATTTTAAAAGATGCATGCCTGGAGCTCTTTTTCTAGACACAAGATCAGGCATTGTAGTTGAGGATGAAACTACAAAGAGAAGAGCAGGCAATAAATCGTTATACCTTCTGTAACTTGAGCATTGCTGTGACTGGGGGAGGCAGAAACATGTGACTTGCTAACTTGCTAACATTGTTTCTTTGAGCTCCTCAACATTCTATCTATCCTGAATTATATCAGGCCAATGGCGATTAGAACGTTTACAACAAAAGGTAAATTGGCCCCTTTATTAAAAACATTATTTGGATATAGGCATATTATTTACAGATCAAATCCAACTTTCCCTGCATTTTTATTTAGTTGGTTTCTTACTAAATTGCAATTTTTATTTTTATCTACAGATGGACATCAAGAACACAAAGATTGTCAAATGCTAGTTATTTTTAGGAACTTTCAGATTCTCTGCGGTTACCGGCCTTCTAGTGCAGCAAATAACTCGTCACGTACAGTATACGTGACGAGTCATTTGGTCCCTATGTGGCGGGACGTACAGTGTACGTCTCCCGTCACGAAGGGGTTAAAACAAAAACCACTGTATGGGTTCCCCATCCATTTTCTACTAAGTACGCACTCACACAGACCTCAGAAAAAGCACAGATCTGATCCCTACTGCCCAACTCTGCCCTATGTTGTCCATAGTTTACATTTACTTTTGCGTAAGGTGCACCAATTGGTTCTTAACAAATTACTTTAGGTTAAGTTTTGTAGGTCAGGGAGAATCCTTGTACAATCTGTACATTGTTCTGTGCCAGAACTTAGACAGGGTTAATAAAGTTGTCCAATCCCACATGTGGCAGTGTTGGCAACTGAGACCCAAGCAATTTATTCAGGGGAAAAAGGGAGCAGGTCACATGCTACTCCATGCGTAGAAGTACCAGGTATTGCTGAGGCCTCTGACGGAAACATTGTCAAGGGAGTTGGACAAAGGGGAGTAGCAGTGGGTGGGGGATGCCCTAAAATGAAAAATTGTCACTATAGCCTGAATGGTCAAAATGACATATTTAATACCTCTTAACTACTTTGCATGGCAAAAATTATTTTCATATTTTGTACAGGAAATACGACTTATTTGGTTCACAGTTATTAACAGACAAGTGGACAAAAACCAAAAATAAAACAAGTTATATTGTGTTGAATGCATTACATTTTTGTAACTAACACCACTACACATACTATCACTTAAATCTTGTCTTCTATAGATTCTAATAAAAGGCACATTAAATATATGTAGATTTTATATATGTGCTACTTGTATATGGTAAAAACAGGTGTGTAGATTTTAAATTTAAAGGATCTAGACTAGGGATGCACCTGTCTCGGTATCGGTGCCGATACCGAGTATTTGGGCAAGTACTTGTACTCACCCAAATGCTCAGATACTTACCTCTGATACCAGAACTTCCGGTCAGAGGGGGATCTCCCTCTAACCAGCAGTGCCGAGGG